TCTTCTCCTCCTTTTCTTCTCCCCTTCTCTTCTCCCCTTTTTCTTTTCCTCCTTCCCTTTTCCCCTTCTTCTCCTCCCTTCTTCTCCCCTCCCTTTTTCTCCCTCCTTCTTTTTCTCCTCCTTCTCCCCCCCTCTTCTCCCCTCCTCCTTCTTCTCCCCCCTTCCTTTTCCCCCTTCTTCTTCTCCCCCCCCTTCTTCTTCCTCCTCCCTCCTTCTTCTCCTCCTTCTTTCTCCTCCTCTTTTTCTCCTCCTTCTTCTCCCCCTCCTTCTTTTCCTTTTTCCCCCCTTTTTTCTCTCCCCTTCTTCCCTCCTTCTTTTCCTCCTTCTTCTTTCCTCCTTCTTTCCCCTTCTTCTCCTCCTTCTTCTTCTCCTCCTTCTTTTCCTCCTCCTTCTTCTCCTCCTCTCTCTTCCTTCTCCTCCTTCTTCTCCTCCTTCTTCTCTCCTCCTTCTTCTTCTCCTCTCCTCTTCTTCTCCTCCTTCTTCTCCTCCTTCTTCTCCTCCTTCTTCTTCTCCTCCTTCTTCTTCTCCTCCTTCTTCTTCTCCTCCTTCTTCTCCTCTCCTCTTCTTCACCTCCTTCTTCTTCTCCTCCTTCTTCTTCTCCTCCTTCTTCTCCTCCTCTTCTTCTCCTCCTTCTTTCTTCTCCTTCTTCTTCTCCTCCTCTTCTCTCCTCCTTCTTCTCCTCCTTCTTCACCTCCTTCTTCTTCCCTCCTTCTTCTTCTCCTCTCCTCCTTCTTCTCTCTCCTCCTCTTCTCCTCCTCCTTCTTCTCCTCCTCCTTCTTCTCCTCCTTCTTCTTCTCTCCTCCTCCTTCTTCTCCCTCCTCCTTCTTCTTCCTCCTTTTCTCTCCTCCTTCTTTCTCCTCTCCTTCTTCTTCTTCACTCCTTCTTCTTCTCCTCTCCTCCTTCTTCTCCTCATCCTTCTTCTTCTCCTCCTTCTTTTCTCCTCCTTCTTCTCTCTCTCCTTCTTCTCCTCCTTCTTCTCACCTCCTTCTTCTTCTCCTTCTTCTTTCCTCTCCTCTTCTTCTCCTCCTCCTTCTTCTCCTCCTCCTTCTTCTCCTCCTCTTCTTTCTCCTTCTTCTCCTCTTCTTCTCCTCCTTCTTCTTCACTCCTTCTTCTTCTCTCCTTCTTCTTCTCCTTCCTCCTTCTTCTCCTCCTCCTTTTCTCCTCCTCCTTCTTCTCCTCCTTCTTCTTCTCCCCTTCTTCTTCCTTCTTCTCCTCCTCCTTCTTCTCCCCCTTTCCTTTTCTCCTCCTCCTTCTTCTCCTCCTTCTTCTCCTCCCCTTCTTCTCCTCCTTCTTTTCCCCTCCTCCTCTTCTTCCTCCTCCTTCTTCTCCTCCTTCTTCTCCTCCTCCTTCTTTCTCCTCTCCTTTTTTCTCCTCCTTCTCCTCCTCCTTCTCCTCCTCCTTCTTCTCCCCCTCCTTCCCCTCCTTCTTCTTCTCTCCTCCTTCTTCTCCTCCTCCTTCTTTCCTCCTTCTTTCTTCTCCTCCCCCTTCTTCTTTCTCCCCCTTCTTCTTCTCCTCTCCTTCTTCTTCTCCTCCTTTTTTTCTCCTTCTTCTTCTTCTTTTCTCCTCCTTCCTTCCCCTCCTTTTCCCCTCCTTCTTCTTCTCCTCCTTTTTCTTCTCCTCCTTCTTCTTCTCTCCTTCTTCTTCTCCTCCTTCTTCTTCTCCTCCTCTTCTCCTCCCCCTCTTCCTCTTCCTCTTCTCCTCTTCCTCCTCTTCTCCTTTTCCTTTTCCCTCCTCCTCCTCCCCCTCCTCCTCCCCCTCCTCCTCCTCTCCTTCCCCCTCCTCCTCCTCCTCTCTTCTCCTCTTCCTCTTCCTCCTCCTCCTCCTCTTCCTCCCCTCCTCCTCCTCCCTCTTCCTCCCCCTCCTCCTCCTCCTCTTCCTCCCCCTCCTCCCCCTCCTCTTCTTCCTCCTCTTCTTCCTCCTCCTCCCCCAAATTGCTTTTGGTTTCAAACTCCTCCAAATCATGAAACTGATCTTCACTGAACACTTCCAACTGTGTTAGAGCATCACTTGGGAAGAGAAGAGCCCCCAGATTTGCTGGGGAGTCACAAATTTCTTACAGCTAGACATACTGAAAAAGGACAACTGAAATGGCATTCGCACAATGCACCACTGGCTCCCCGATTTTTTTTATATGGTGCACACTGACCATGGAGACCCATTCTCTCACATGTGGGCCTACCAGCTTTCTCCTGCTTGATTTGAAGCCGCTAGAATTTATGCGTATAAATACGTCAGAAACAGTGGTGCGTAAGACGTATATATATGCCGTAAACAGTCAAAGGGTTAACAAAATACTTAGACTATACAACAAACATTGTCCTATAAAAACGAAACAGATCACAAATAAACGGCTTGGTTGCCCATGGCTAACCAGCACCATTCTGAAATCCATTGATAAGAAACACCAATATGAAAAGCAATATAGACAGGGCTTAATACACAAAGATATTCTTAAACAATATTCAACAGTTCTCACCAAATTAATAAAGAAAGCCAAACAACTGTATTACTCCAGCAGATTCACTGACACAAGAGGAGATATAAAAAAGAACCTGGAAAAACCCACTTTCCCAATTCTGGAGACCCACAAACTGAAAAAAAACAAGAAGATTGTTCTAACTAAACCTCATGAAACACCATTGCATCCCACTGATGCAGCTAACAAGATAAACGACTTCTTCTCAAACATAGGATCTAATCTCCCCAGTAAAATCCCATGTACCAATGCCCGTGCCGGGGACTACCTAGATGGGAATTTCCCTAATTCCTTCTATCTTGTACGAACTGAGCCCACGGAAGTCACCGCGATCATAAAGTCACTTAAAAATAACTCGAGGGAATCTGTCTCACGTCCCACCATTATTGTACAAGCGAGCGCCCCATGTCCTTTCGCATGTTATTACATTACTTTTTAACAAGTCACTAGAACTAGCACTTCCCCCCTACTACTCAAGACAGCGGGGGGTTTTACACCAAAATACATAAAGGGTGGTGACCCTACAGACGTAAACAACTATAGGCCAATATCAAACTTACCATTGCTATCCAAATCTTCGAGAAACTCGTGCACAGGAGACTATATTCATTTATAACGTCACAAAACATACTCAACCCTCCCAAATTTTGGATTCAGGAAAAAATAAAGCACAAAATGATGCAATTATAAAAATGCTAGACCTGCTTTACACAGCATTGGAAAATAAGGAATATCCTCTAGGAATTTTTATTGACCTAAAAAAAAGCGTTTGACACAGTAGACACGGCATCCTACTCCACAAACTTGACCACTAGGGTTTATAAGGGGCCATGCGCTTGCATATTTTAAATCCTACCTTTCTAATAGATATCGTATGTCACCATTTAAAGACACGGCCTCATCAATATGGCCACTTGATACTGGAGTTCCGCGGGGAAGTGTTCTTGGACCCTGCTCTTCCTCATTTACATCAATGATCTTCAAACATATCCCAACACCTGAAACCATTCTCTTGCTGATGACACGATTTTATGTCAATTCCCACCCTAATCTTCCCACCCTCAACACCATTGTTAATGAGGAGCTGCTAAAAATTATAAACTTGGATGAAGGCCAATAAACTTACACTTAACACTGGCAAAACCTACTATTATGTTTGGTAGCAGAGCAGGTGTTGCACAACTTAACATTAGATTGACAACACTCTAATTGCCAGACATAATGGGGGGTAAATTCCTTGGCCTATACCTCGCAAACAACCTAAATTTCAGCACCCATATCCAACACATAACAAAAAAAGTACCCAAAATGGTGGGGATCCTCTCCAAGATATGATATTACGTACTGCAAACTGCCCTTCTCACACTATACCATTCACTTATATATCCATACCTCACATATGATATCTGTGCTTGGGGTTCAACTGCAGCAACACACCTAAAGCCAATAATAACCCAACAAAAAGCTGCAGTAAGAATAATCACTAAATCCCATCCCTGGCAACACCCCTCCCCCCCACTCTTCATAGATCTAAACTTACTCCCTGTTCAGAACATCCACACTTACTACTGTGCAATCTATATCTACAGGACCTAAATTCCCAATTTTAAAACCTTGACCTAAAATGCTTTCTTGATAGTTGTGACAGGATCCACAGGCATAACACCAGACACAAACATCACTATGACATTCCCCGTGTTCGACTAAACCTTTACAAAAATTCAATGTACATGAATTTCAAAGGACCTAAAATCTGGAACACCGTACCTGAAAACTCTAGAACTCAGACACATTCATCACTTTCAAAACTACAGTTAGAAAACATCTTATCTCCCTGATCCACCCCGACAACTAACTACATGATAACCACCTGGTGGTTCACAATAACACTCACTCACCCACTGACTATAAACCCAGAAATACTAATCTTAAAATAATAAATCCTAACTAGTCATAAGTTTGTCTATGATACTTCAGTATAGACACCTTGTACTGTGCCAAAACAAAAGCATTCACATTGCTAAACTCACAAATTATGATGTAGTCACTTAGCCTTAATACCATAATCTGTAAGGATTTAATGTTAAGATTTAATTTAAGTCTGCTCGAAATGCCTAGCCATGCTAGGTATCCTAGTGGCCCCCTCTGTAATTAGTATTTTATAACATGTAAACCACACAATACCCAAAACCTGTAAACCCCACATTGTAACCCTTATAGAGAATAAACTTGAACTGAATTGAATTGAATTGAATTACCCATCCTGTACTCTCCCAGAGCACTCCATTACACATCTTGTACTCTCCCAGAGCACTCCATTACCCATCCTGTACTCTCCCAGAGCACTCCATTACCCATCCTGTACTCTCCCAGAGCACTCCATTACCCATTCTGATCTGATCAGAAAAACAATGACAACAATGCACAAGTGATAGAATTTCAGCAAATCTGCTATCTTCTATACATGTCATTTTTTTTTTCAACAACAACAACAGGATTTATCTTTTTATACATTGACACTCACCATGTCGCACTTGACACAGCGTGAACACTTTTTGACACAATATCACTCGCACTCGCATCAGCTGCTGTCGACGTGCTGGCGACAGCTGAGCTAGGCACAACTGGGGTGGCCACATGTGAGGTGGCCACATCTGGGGCAGCCACATCTGCAGTGGCCACATCTGGGGTGTCCACATCTGCAGTGGCCACATCTGGAGTCATCACAGGGGAAATGGCCATACATGGTGAGGTCGTCATATACGTAACTGTGGGTGTGGTGACGACAGATGTATATATAGGTGCAGGTTTGATCAATGTGGCCACCAGTACGTACGACAGCATCAGAACACACCAGAGCACTGTTTACTCACGATGCATTACTCTAACAGAGTAAAGATCAAACCAGCGAGTGGCACAACCAATGAGTCGTCCAAACTAGCACTTGCGGCTGTCGTTAGTGGCAGGCTGCAAGTCAAATGTAATGCGATTTTATTGCTCAAGGAGGCCTTTGTTGTCGTCTGTACAGACGACACAGAGGCTGAGAAACTACTTACCACTACTGCTACTATCACTCTATGAGACCAGGGATTTCTTGTCTTGACTTCCCCAGCACTGATGGCCAGGAGAACTGTGTTCCTCAAGCGATCGAAAAACCTTATCACTGTACAGTCCACTGAAGAAAACAAGTCATCTATCAAAGCAAAGAACCCTTGGGCCAAGGTGGACTTCCATTACTAAAATACCCAAGCTTCATTCATGCTGAAGGTCACCTTCAGTCACCTTCAGAGCTCTCGCTGAGGGCCTGGCTATTCACTACTTCTACATCAACCCAGCCTTCATCGAAGCAGGGGAAATTCCAACATATCTCGCAGTGCTATAATTGTTACTCATTTCTTGCACACCACAAATGACAAATGATTGTCCTAAACCCAAAGGGCAAGAAGTTCTGCTCCACCTGTGGCCATGAGGGTCATGACTTCAAGAATTGCACTACTGCTTCACAACCTAAATGCTTGAACTGCAAGAATGAAACCCCCATACTCTTGCTGCCAGGGGCCCTACCAGAAGAGACAATCCCCAAGAAAACAACAACAACAAAAGAAACCCAACCCACAAGCAACCACATATTTTGCTATCGCCAAGCTTCAAGTAGACACTACCAAGATACTACAGCCACGCAAGCTGCTCCACCACTTCCCCGCCAGCACTACTGTCGACTCCACCAAGATTCTTTATTGCATTATGTATGCTCATGTACAGAATGCAGCTGAGCCTGGTTCCTTCACACCACCATCAATGAACTTTTCAGACTAAATAATATGCCCGGCCTCACATTTTCCCCGCATCACCATCTTCCACTGAGATCTTAAAATCTATGCAAATATTACCAGCATCACCCCTGCTCCACCGCTGTCACAACCTCCACTAGACACAGAATGGACCAATCAGAGACCACTGAGACGTCGGCAAACCCCACCAATGAGAGTCCACTACCCCTTGCATCCACTGCTAGAGCAACTGATCAGTCGGAAATCTCGCCTTCACCAGCTCAGCCACCAGCCAAGAAAGCAAAAACACAAGATACTGCGGATGCACCTCCCCGGTGCCACTGCCATGACACTTCTGCACCACAACAAGTCCATGCCTGAAGGGGGTATACTTCTACACAACCAAGCAGTATAAGAAAAGAATGTTGTCTTCAGAAATCCATCAGCACCTCCAGGACGGAACAGGGCCAAGTATACCTACGACCAAACTGCTACATACACCACTGCAGACATGACCAGACTACTCAATGCCAACACCCAACACCTTGTGGGAAGTCGAGTACAACCTCAAAGAGGAAATTCAGGATGATTCAGAATGGGGACCTTTAAGACGGTACCCTCCTCTAGCACGAAAGATGATCGTCACCCCCCACCCGGGTGCACTGGCCGGGTCACCCTCTGGAGAAGACCAGGGCCGGAAGTACCGGCAATCAACATGAATGGATGAATGAAAATGAACACCAACACACGACACTCCACACAGGAGAGCACAGCGCTAGCACGATCAACACCATGCCCTGCCCTTCTAGGGCAGGGTTGGTGCCAGAGCCCAAGTTTGTAGCTCCCCCAAGATGAGGGGGGTACTGTGCCTCCTCCCATGGGGGACTTAGGTCTCAGCACTCCCTAGACAGGGAGCCAGTGCTGGCCCCACTTGGAAGGGCCTGGGCTGGGAGAACACCGGCGAATCTTTAACAACATCAATGTGGCCACAGTGGTGGTGGTGGCGGTGGCCACAGATATGTCACTTCGTTTACACTTTCTCGATGCTGTAGGTTTGCCACTTGGAGTGGCCACATCTGGTGGGCTGGACATGCTGGCCACATCTGGAGTGAACCTGGATAATGCTGGCCACATCTGGAGTGGCCCTGGGCATGCTGGCCACAATCTGGAGTGGCCCTGGATGTGCTGGCCACATCTGGAGTGCCCTGGACATGCTGGCCACATCTGGAGTGGCCCTGGATGTGCTGGCCACATCTGGAGTGGCCCTGGACATGCTGGCCACATCTGGAGTGGCCCTGGCATGCTGGCCACATCTGGAGTGGTCGTGGATGTGCTGGCCACATCTGGAGTGGCCCTGGACATGCGGCCACATCTGGAGTGCCCCTGGCATGCTGGCCACATCTGGAGTGGCCCTGGATGTACTGGCCACATCTGGAGTGGCCCTGGACATGCTGGCCATATCTGAAGTGGTCCTTTGGGAAATGCTGGACACACAGGGCCTTTTTCCCTTGTCTTGCTTGCACGTGAAATATCATCAGAACAGCTGAGAACAAATCTTCATTAAGAGAGTGTGAGGGAAGTGATGGTGCGGGCACAGTGCTTGTGCCTTCGTGCTGCCTTTTTCATATGTTTTGCTACACAAGTTTAGCATTTTCTGATGACCTTTTTGTTTTGTTCAAAGAGTGGAAAAGGCTTCTTACGATCCATTGTGTTGTGAAATGTGTAGAATTGAGGCCAAAAAACAGTCCAGGAGGCTGCGGTGAATCAAAGCAGCATACACCCCCTCTCCTGACCTTTTGGTCACACTGAGTGTTGTTGGAGAGCGAAGCTCCTTGCTACAGCCCCCATGAGAGTACCAATGAATATTTGAGCATCTGGCACAAAAGCTAAGTTAGAACTTTT